TAGAGTGGTAATACAACTGTACTAACTAGACATATACTCTACTAACTATACGTAAATACATTAAACAGTATAAACTCATAGCCAAATGTCAAATTCCCAACGTTTCCCTGACTTTTACTGACTAAAGAGCTGACTTGTAATGTATGGGGAAACTAGGCGCTGTTGAGCTTTGCATAATATTGAGATTGTAAATTTGTTTAAGCTTGAATATAATTTTCATGAATACAATAGCCATTATGAGAACAACAATGGTTCATTTAGCCATAACCATAACACTTGGCAAACAAAAGTCCTGATGTTGCATGACTTAAAAATAAATATTTACATTTCTATGTCTTTCAACGTCTGGAAGATTTTTTTTTAATTTCCATGACCCAGGGGAAACCTGTTTTCATATGGAAATACTTTTATTCAGCAAGCCTTCATTCAGTTGACACAGAAGGTAAAAACATTTGTTACTAACTAACTCTACTTAAATTAAATTATGTAATAAGTGTAATAATGAGTTAGGAGTATTTTCTTTCTAGTTACTTCACAAGATCTGACTAGTATTCAGCTTAAAGTGCTATTTAATGGCTTAATTAGGTTGACTAAAAAAGTTATGTAACTTAGGCAAGTAATTAGACCACAGTGATTTGTTCCATGGCCAATTAAATAATAATAAATTTATATATATATATATATATATATATACAGCGGGGAAAATAAGTATTTGACACATCAGCATTTTTATCAGTAAGGGGATTTCTAAGTGGGCTACTGACACAAAATTCCTACCAGATGTAGCCATCAAGCCAAATATTGAATTCATACAAAGAAATCAGAACATTTAAGTATACAAGTTGAGTCATAATAAATAAAGTGAAATGACACAGGGAATAAGTATTGAACACACTTTACTTAATACTTTGTAGAAAAGCCTTTGTTGGTGATCACAGCTTCTAGACGCCTCTTGTATGGAGAGACCAGTCGTCTGCATTGCTCAGGAGTGATTCTGGCCCATTCTTCCACACAAACGGTCTTTAAATCTTGAAGGTTCCTTGGGCCTCTTTTATGAACTTTGATCTTCAGTTCTCTTCATAGATTTTCTATGGGATTTAGGTCAGGTGATTGACTGGGCCATTCAAGCAACTTGATTTTCTTTCTTTGAAACCACTTCATTGTTTCCTTGGCCTTGTGTTTGGGATCATTGTCTTGCTGAAATGTCCACCCT